TGAAATAATTCTCATTTTCTCTATTTTAAAGTCACTTTTTGATCATTGATTTAAATAAAAAAATTTATCACATATTATAATTGGAACTAACACTGGTAAATATTCTTTCATTCTAAATCTATCAAAGAAATTGTTGAAGCAAGTCTCTTGTGATAAACATAAAATACATGAACTCTCTCTCTCTCTCTCTCTCTCTCTCTCTCTCTCTCTCTCTCTCTCTCTCTCTCTCTCTCTCATTCATATTAAAATTTTGAGAGAGAAATTATATATGTCACTTTATACAACATTGATTCAAAGTAAAATATGATCTATAATGTTGACAAATTTAAATTAAGAAACCACATCATGAAATTTTAAATATCATAGACTATATCTCAAGCTTGAAATGTAATTGCTCACCTTCATTACGGAAGAATTATTTTAATTATTTCATATAAAACTCCTCCTCTAGGTGTCCATTAAAAAAATATAGTTTTCACATCCATTTGATACTACTCTAAGTCAAAATGTGCAACAAGTGAAGTAATAATTCTAAAAGAATATTTCTTAGATTCATAAATAAGCAATTGATTCCCCCTTCTTGGGTGAACTTGTTAGCAAAAAGTCTTAGTTCATATATTTTTATGTTTCCCATTGAGTCTTTCTTTACCTTCTTGACCCATTTTTCTTTGGCACCACATCACAACTCAATAAGATCCCATACTCTACTTGTGTCATAGAATTTATCTCATTTTCATAGTACCATATCATAAATTAGATTCCTTACAACTCATTTCTTGTGAAAATATTTTAGGATCACCCTAAGCTATAATGTTATAGTCCAACTCTTAAAAATACAAAGTGTAGTCACTAGGAATTATTGGTCTTCTTTCTATAGTGGATTTCCTTAATAATATAATCACATCCTTTTATAAAAATGGTTGTTTAGCACTATTTGATAACTAATGAATAGCTGGATCTACTAGTTTATTATTAATAACTTAAGGATTCTCAATTATTGGATATTTAAAATCTGTTTGGACTAGAGAAGTGTTATGGATAATATTTATTCTGTCATAAGTATTAAGTCAGTGAAATAAAAAGTAGCAAATATTCCATTTATTAACCACTTGATTATATTTATGCAGATATGTACCAAACTCTAGTTCTTTAACATAGAATAGTGTTTATTTATAAAACATCTTTTAGTGTCATCTTAAATATGCATCACATCATGAGTAATATTATGCGGTACATTAATATAAAAACACAATCAAACAAAGCATTATACTCAATAAGTTTAGATTTTTAATATAGATATGTCACCAAAAAACATCTTGATTGAGCACGAATTTCAAGGTATATTCATGTTGGAAAACTCTAAGATTAAAATCCAAAACATTCAAACTCTAATTTTAATAAACTTATAATCAAAGTGGACGTCTTGATGAGACAAATCCAATGACACCAACGTCTTTCCAATCCAAGCTCAAATGGGGCTAAATCAAGGGATTGAAACATATTTAAATGTTTTAAGACATTAATTGAATGACCAAATGATCTCTAAATATGACATACTTATGTTTGAATCAAATAGTTATTGAGAAAAATAAAATGAGTCTAGATAGCTTAATTCTGACATCACTAAGGCACATAAATGTTGGATGAACAGTCCATTAACAATGGTATGAACATGGATCGTATGATGGAGCACTTCAAATTGGCTCCATATCTTCTCCATATTTATTGGGCATACCACTCCCAAAAACCTGTAAATTGGGCCCCTCTCCTTACATGAAAGGGAGATTAGACTCTTGGCTAGAGATTTAAGAGAGCTCAAAGGTTTAAAGAATCTCAAAGCTCCACCCAAGAACCATCATCGGTGAACCCTTATTGTACGATCACAACTATCGAACGTTCATCAGTTAATTATCATCGAAAGTCCACCTGGCCCTCATCATTGGACCTCCACTTGACCATCACCTTCAAACATCCATCCAGCCACTAGTATCGGGCCTCCACTCCGCCATGGCCATCTGACATCCCCTTGGCCACCGTCATCACCAGATCTCCATCTGGCAGCTAGCACTGGACATTCACCGATTAAGCATTACTGTCAATCTGTCACCTAACTGTCACAAACAATTTTTTATCTCGCTACCACAGTCCTCAAGCCACCATCACCCACCGACTACAATCCTTGAACCTAATGTATTAATGATTACAAATATTATTTGTTAGATCATCTATGATTCTCTATATTATATATGCAGTTTTCTTTTCATGATACTAGTGTTTCAAGTAGAATAGAAGAAGCTACTTAATGCATCAAGCCTAATCAAAATGGGAAAATGAAGAATGAGAGTATCAAAAGTAAATTATCGAGTCTATAATTTTTTTTCTTGAGTCAGTCTGCATTAGGTGTATGTTGTGTAACTATTTATATCCATTTTGTCTTCGAGCACTTGCATAGCCTTATTGCACATTTTGTGGGTCAGTCCGTTTTCCTACATGTTGCACCGTTATGTTTGATGAAAGGTTAAGCGGCACATTTTACCTCGATTCTTCGTCGACCTTAGGATTTATTTTTTTATCACAAATTATCAGTTATTATGTTTTAAATTATATGTGATTAGGTCAATGTTGATTTGATTAGTATTGAATTATTGCATTAGAACCTTTTGTATGCTTCTTCATTTCATACATAAAATCTTTTGATCGGGACTTCAAATTGTGAAACAAATTTTACTATTGCATTCAGCTCATTGAAACGGATCAAATGAGTCTATTCATGCTTGAATCATACATCATTTGATATATGTGTCGAGGAGAGAGAATGTAAGGAGCTTTTTCTTAATAAATTCAATAATCAAAATGAATTAAAAAAATAAAATTTATTGTTTATATATATATATATATATATCTTGTATTCTTTAGAAAGAAGAAGGAATCAGGAGCTTATTTGCTCATTTCCTCATATGTAAATCAAGTAACAATGAACTAATTTATTTTTAAAAAAAATTAGCAATGAACTAAGTAATGAAGATAGAAATGATTAATATTGTTCTTTCTAAAAAAACATTAATGCTGAAATTTAAAATTTGCTAAAATGAAATTTGTTGGAATGCTCTTTTTTAAAATAAAATTTGCTGAAATAAAATGTTCTGAAATGTTTTTCGCTGAAATAAAATTTACTGAAATATTATTTTCTGAAATAAAATTTGTTGAAATGTTATTTGCTAAAATAAAATTTGCGAAAATTTTTTATTTCCATGGATTTTTCTTGCAAGAATAAAATAAGAAATGCTGAAATTTCTCTTTTATAATTTGTTTACATGAGAATATAAGCAATAAAATTGAACACTTCTATGAGTTTATCTTACATGAGAGAATGATGATTTTGATTTTTATATGATTCTATCTTTCCTTAGAATGATGAGGAAAATAATTCTATGCTTGTGTGATTTTATTTCATATAAAAGAGAAAGATAAATATGGATTTATACTATTTAATTTATTCTAATGAGTTTAAGTAAAAGAAAATCAACAATTGGGAGGAAAAGAATCTCTCAAATGTGATGTACATAATTTCAATAATTTCATTTTAGTTAATAATTCTTTTCATTTTGTCAAACTCTATATCAATAAAGGTGATAGAGTATTCTTTAAAGCCATGCAATCAATTATGTTGAATAATTTATGCTCATGCTTCTTTTATATTGTATGTCTCTATATTTAGTGTTGAAGGCTCATCAAAATTATGGGAAGGTTAATATATATGTTTGAATTGTGATATTAATATATTCAATGCAAATGTAGATAGCATGTGTAAAGTCTCATGACTAATCTCGTATATTTATTTATTTAATAGAAGTTAGTAATTGGAATTCTACATTCACATAAGTGAGTTTGTATGCTAATCAAAATAAAGAATACTCCTGATACGGCATCACAAATTTATCTTGATCGGGCACGAATCTCGAGGCAAAAAACTAGTTGGAAACTTCAAAAATTAAATATGAAAGCACCAGAACTCCGATTTCAGCGAGCCTACAGTCAAACTAAGTTTCTCGGAAATACGAACCTAACGACACCAAGTTCAACCCAATCCGAGCCCAAATGAGCCCGAATCAAGGACCCGAAGCGCTGTTGGAAGGTTCAAACCAAAATTTGAGTTACCAAACATTCTCCGATTTTAACGAGTTAATACTCAAATCGAGAGGCTCGACGAGACGAATCCAACGAGCTCAAGATCGCTGAATTCCGACATCATTAAGGCCTCCAAATGTCCAACGAATGGTGCACGATCGAAGGGTTCAATATCGGCCGTCCATTCAAACCACTTCCTATTCGCCCATGATCTCACACCTATTTACGAGCCATGCCACTCCAGAAAAACTATAAATAGAACCCTCATTCTTCACAAAGGGGACTCAAGTGAAGAGAGAGAAGAAGAAGAGAAGAAGAAGGAAAAGGAGAAAAGGTGAATCCTCTCCTCCTCAACCACCGCCGGAGCTCTTCCCGCTGCTGAATGCGCCAGAAGTCTGCCGGATTTTTGGGAAACGACGGGATTTTGCAAAACTTTGTAAATTTGCTTTAAGTTGTAATATGATCGTCCCGATTTGTGGGATGAATCAGTTTCTTGTAATTTACAAAAACACTAGTGAAATTTTACAACTGGGCGAGGCCCCGTGGTTTTTTCTCTTTTTGGGTTTTCCACGTATAAATCCAGGTGTTCTTTCATTTTCATGTTTGTGTGTTAAATATACGTGCAACGCTCGGACGCGAATTTACAAACTCTACCGCCGCGTATTTTCTAGCACGCAACAGTTTGACGCCGTCTATGGGAAACACTATCCCACAACTTCAAGTATTGCTACGATGGTTAACAGGGGCAGCAGTCGTATAGTTGGAGCTTCTCGCTCCAACTCTTGTCAGTCCAAAAATCCATCTATTAACCATAGATGACCAATGTCAACATCTTTGCATCATGGGGGGCAGAATGCTGCCGGAGAAGGGACCTCGGGACCTTCTTTGGAAGAAAGAATCCGAAAAATAGAAGAATCTCAGAACGAGAACCTTCAACTCCTGCGAGAGAATCGACAACCGGCATTGGCACAATAGGAGGAAGTTTTAGTCCCTCAGAATTCACCACGGGTTGAGGATGTCCAATTTGAACATCTTCAAGCAGTTGTTCATCTCCCTCCACATAGAAGATTTTCTCAGTCTCGACAGGATAATGAACTTGTCGATACGGCAAGTTCTACACATCCTCCACCCTCAATTCGGCAGCCTCACATCCTCCCAGATCTCCCTGAAGACTCTGCTCAACCACATGTTGTGGAGCTCCCTCACGATGCCCTGCATCACGAACTGCGAAGGTTGGTAAGGGAAGAATTCCCCCAAGGGGATGCGAGACAAACCCTTCGTCAGAGAGACTTCCAGGAATGATCACCTTTAACTGAGGCTATACTACAGCACCCTATTCCGGCTAGATTTAAACTACCCAGCATTGAGTCTTACGACGGAACGTCAGACCCGTACGAGTATATCAACAACTACATAACCATTATGCACATTCAACGAGCCTCAGACGCTCTCCTCTGCCGAGTCTTTCCTACCACCCTCAAAGGATAGGCTCGCACAAGGTTCTACTTGCTTCCGTCGGGAACAATCCCCACGTTTGTAAAATTGGCAAAAGCTTTTGTCAAGCAATTCGTAGCCAACTGAAGAATTGCAAAGGATTCTTCTCATCTCTCCGGGATCAGCCAAAATGAAGGAGAATCTTTAAAGGAGTATTTTCAGTGATTGTCCACTAAATCTCGACAAATCTCAGGAGTAGATCCTGAACTGTTGAGAGGAATCTTCCTTGGAGGCCTTCACCCTAGCCCCTTCTATTCGGCACTTAAGCGCGACACTATTACTTCATACGCCGATTTAATTCACCAGGTAGAAGCTCAAATCTCGGTAGATGAGACTATAAACGCCCATAGGAAACAGTTTGAACAATCTACTGGAAAACGCAAGGGCGCACCAGGAACGAATAATTCTTCCTCGCAACGAAAGAAGCAAGGGAAGAATAATCTACCTTCGATTCCTCCATTGCCACGACGAGAACCTCGACAGGAGAAAGAGTACACTCCTCTCAATACGTCTCAAGCAAATGTGTTAATGGCTGTTCGAGATCAAGATACGGTAAAGTGACCACATCCCTTGAAGCCGAACACAGGAAATCAGGACCAATACTGTCATTTCCATTGTAGTCGTGGCCACACTACAGAAGCCTGTAGACAACTGAAGGAGGAAATTGAAAGGCTTACCCGTCAAGGCTATCTTCGTCAGTTTATTTGAGATTCACCTACCCGAGAGGAAACTCATCCCATTGGGGGGCAAGATCGACAACAGAGGCCACCAGTACATAATCGAATAGCAGTTAGGGAAATTGAAACAATAGCTGGAGGCCCTTTGCTATCCCATAAAGTCTTTTTGGCTGTGGACGAAATTCCAACTCTAAAGAAAGCTCGTGTAGATCACACCATCACCTTTGATGATTCCGATTTGGAGGGAGTAAAAACCCCTCACCAAGATCATCTTGTTGTCAGTGTAGGCATAGGTGACCCATGCTACAATGTTAAGAGAATTCTCGTAGATAATGGTAGTTATGTAGATATCTTGTTTTACTATACCTTCCTCAATTTGGGTCTCGCCAGAGAGAAGCTTCAACCAGCAGAAGGTCCTTTATACGGATTTGATAATCGACCTGTGCGAGTAGAAGGGATAATCAGTCTCCCAGTCGTACTTGGAGAATTCCCCCGACAATCTACACACTTTGTCCAATTCGTCGTTTTAAAGTCCGAATCGACTTACAACGCTAACTTTGGGAGGTCACTCCAGTCAATTTTTGGGATTGTCACCTCTATCCCTCACCTAAAGCTGAAGTTCCACACTCCTACAGAAGTTAGTGTGGTGTGCAAAGATCAACAAAAAGCACAAACCTGCTATCTCATGCAGGTCAAAACACGCCTGACTCATACTCTAAACATTGAGGATTTTGATCTTCAGAACGAAGACATACCTCAGAGAGCCTCTCCAGTATAAGAACTCATCACTGTATCTATCTCTGAAGAACATCCTCTAAAGATGGCGCAAATTGGGTCACTTCTCTAAGAAGACGAGAAGAAAATATTCACAGATTTTCTATGAGAAAACCAGGATATTTTTGCATGGAGTCCAGCAGATATGCCCGGGATTGACCCTGAAGTAATTGTACATTCCCTTAAGGTCAATCCGGCGAACAAACTAATCATCCAGAAGAAATAGAATTTTGCACCAAATCATCAGCAAGCGATCGAACAAGATGTGGACAAACTCCTGAAAGCCGGATTCATACGAGAAGTGCATTATCCTACTTGGTTGGCAAATGTTGTCTTGCTTAGAAAGGGGAGCGGTGCATGGAGAATGTGTATAGAATTCACATATCTCAATAAAGCCTACCCAAAAGACAGCTTTCATCTTCCACGTATCGATCAGTTAGTCGATACCACTTCTAGGAATCAAATGTTGAGTTTAATGGTCGCCTACTCTGGTTACAACCAGATCAAGATGAATCTGACGGATGAAGAAGCAACAACATTCCAAACAGACAAAGGGTTGTATTATTATCGGGTGATGCCATTCAGGCTCAAGAATGCTGGAGCAACTTACCAACGTCTCATGAATAAGGTTTTCAAAACCCTTATTGGATGTAATATGGAGGTGTACGTCGACGACATGTTGGTAAAAAGTCTCGAAAAATCTCAACATATCTCCGACTTGGAGCAGTACTTCCATCTGTTGAGACGTTACAATATGCGACTCAACCTTGCCAAATGCGCCTTCGGAGCTGCTTCTGGAAAATTTCTAGGTTTTATGGTAACCCACAGAGGATTGAAGCCAATCCCGAAAAGATCAAGGTATTAAGAGATATGGTGCCCCCGAGGAACATCAAGGAAGTCTAAAGGCTGAATGGGAGAATTGCAGCATTGTCTCATTTCCTGTCACGCTCAGGAGACAAATATCTGCCTTTCTTCAAAATACTCAGAGGCGCCTGCAACTCTAGGTTCCAATGGACAGACAAATGCCAAGAAGCCTTCGAACAACTACGAAAGTATTTGGCTTCCCCGCCGCTACTTTCTAAACCAACGCCTGGAGAAAAGTTGTATTTATACATATCTGTTTCGGCCCAAGCCATCAGTTCGGTCTTGGTGCGAGAAGAGAATGCTGTACAACGCCCCATCTACTATGTCAGTAAAATCCTATCTAAAACATAGGGACGTTATCCCTTAGCGGATAAGACAGCATTGGCACTAGTCTATTCTACCAAAAAACTACGCCCCTACTTTCAAGCACACTCAATTGGAGTTTATACAAATCTGCCGCTGAAAAATATTCTGCAAAAACCAAAAGCATCGGGTAGGCTCGTCAAGTGGTCTGTAGAACTGGGAGAATTTGACATTCACTACTTGCCTAGACCCGATATCAAATCTCAAGCACTTGCAGATTTCGTGGTTGAATGCACCGTCCCAGTGTCCGATATTCAACCAGGTACTTTGCCTTCTCCTCCGCGTTGGACGTTGTATGTTGATGGATCCTCTGGATGTTCTGGCGTGGGGGCTGGAATTCTGTTAATATCCATGCAAGGGACTACTCTTGAGTATGGGCTCCGACTCAAGTTCCCGGCAATAAACAACATGGTAGAGTACGATGCCCTTATCGTTGAACTAAGACTAGCAGTCGATTGTGAGGTGCAAAATCTAATAATCCACACTGATTCACAACTAGTCGCTTCTCAGATGGAAGGAGAATTTGATATCCACAATCCGCAACTAGCCCAATATTGCAAATTTGTGAAACTACTTTTGGCCCGAATAGGAGAATATCAAATTGACATGTTCTCCGAGAGCAAAATTCAAGAGCAGATGCTCTTTCAAAACTTGCAACATCGACGACGAGAGACATCTACAAGAGAAAATGTGTTGAGGATATCCATTTTCCAAGTATCCAGGGTCCATGGGTTATACAATCGATCGATGAAACAAGGGAGGAGTCTTAGATCAATCCCATCTTATCTTTCTTACAAGATGGGGTACTTCCTGAAGAACCCATGGCTGCAACGAGACTTCGAAGACGAGTAGCAAATTTCACCATCATTGGTGATGAGTTGTATAAGCGCGCTTTCACCGGGCCATATCTGAAGTGTCTCCCACCTTCAGAAGCTGATTATGCACTCCGAGAAGTTCATTCAGGAGTATGTGGCGAGCATCTAAGAGGAAGAGATTTGGCTTATAAAATCATGAAGTAAGGGTTTTATTGGCATACAGTGAAACAGGATGCACTTAAGTTTACACGAAAGTGCGAGAATTGCCAATTACATTCCAATCGCACCCATACTCCAGCTCTGGAACTTACATCGTTTCAAAGCCCCTGGACTTTCGCCTAGTGGGGAATTGATATAATGGGACCCTTCCCAATAGCCACAGGACAACGAAAATTCATCATCCTGGCTGTAGATTACTTCACGAAATGGGTGGAAGCAGAGCCCTTGGCAAAAATTACTGAAGCAAATGCCAAACAATTCTTATGAAAGAATATAATTTGTCGCTTCGGTATTCCAGGAAAGGTCATCACCGACAACGGAACTCAATTTACTGGAAAAATCTTTACATCTTTTTGTAAAGATTTTCACATTCAACTCGTCCACACGGCTGTCGCCCATCCTCAAGAAAATGGGTAAACGGAGGTTACAAATCAAATAATTTTGAAAGGGCTGAAGACAAGCCTAGGGAAGGCTGGGGGGCAATGGGTTGAAGAACTCCCAAATGTCATCTGGGCTTACCGTACCACGGCCAGGACTCCTATAGGAGAAACTCCGTTCAACCTCTATTTTGGTACAGAAGCAGTCATACCAATGGATATTGGAGTCCCAAGCAACAGAGTTCAGACTTTTGACTTCAATAACAACGAGGAGAAACTCAGGACAAATCTAGATCTCCTCCCTGAAGCAAGGGATGAAGCCTCACTCAGGGTCGCTGCTTACCATCAACGGATCGCTCGTCACTACAATCGAAGAATAAA